AGTTATTGTAAGACTGGCGGGTTGGTTAAAGCTTGGGTAAAGCTGTGAATTACTATTCTAGCTAGGTGAATAAGCTACAGTAAGATCGTACTTGACTGGTCAAAGCTGGCTGGCTGGCTGGCTTGTCAAGGCTGGTTGGCTGGCTGGCTGGCTGGCTGATCAAAGCTGGCTGGCTGGCTTGTCAAAGCTGGCTGACTGGCTGGTTTGTCAAAGCTGGCTGACTGGTTAGCTGGCTTGTCAAAGCTGGCTGGTTGGCTGGCTTGTCAAAGCTGGTTGGTTGGTTGGCTTGTCAAAGCTGGCTGGTTGGTTGGCTGGCTTGTTAAAGCTGGCTGGCTGGCTGGCTTGTCAAAGCTTATAGAACTTGTCGACCTTCTAGAACAACTGTACTAATCCTGTAGCCTCAAATCTAACCAATTCTAAAACTATACTTGGCTTGGACAAAGCTAATCAAGCATCCCAATCCAAAATCAAGTCGATTCCCAATACTTTCAATCAATAATCGACTGGATTGAATGAAAAAAAGACCCTGCAATTTCTACTGTCTCAGCCCCTTCACTCTGTATGTGCTTGAATGAATGGGGTACTCGTGAAAAGAAAAAAAAAGAGAAAGGAGCTAAAGAGAGACACTTTTTTTCTTTTTTAGGAAAGGGACTGAGGGGCACACGCCAGATGGCGCGCTCTCCTCGGTCATTCGACCCTTTCCCCTTTTTCTTTCACTATTTTTAGGGTTCTCTTGATTTGCTTAGGCAAAGAAATGAGGAGAAAGTGCAAGACTCAACTTTGCTTAAAACCCAGGCTAACCAGGTTTCCAGGCTAACCAAAAGCTAACAAGGAACCGATTGGAGCTCGCGGTGGAATCTCGGTATCATCTTGTCTAGAGATGTCTAGAGATGTCTAGGTATCTAAAACATCTTGTAGAGCTTGAAAAGACGAGTCGAATGATCTAAAGATTAGCTGCTTATCATCATTGTAAACACACAAAAACTAGCTTAAAAGTTTTGCTATCTGCTAGATATAGTTTTTGCTTATAAGCTTCTTAACGGGCTTTCATCCCAAGAAGTCTTTGTACATCCCAAGAAGTCAAAGCTAAACTAAAACCAAGGCCAAACCAAAGCCAAAACAAAGCCAAGGCCAAACCAAAGCCAAACCAAAGCCAAACCCAACCAAACCAAACCAAACCAAACCAAAACCAGACTGGAGCCAACAAATCCTCTAGACTATTCTATTATATCGACTATCCAGCTAAGCAATTCTCCTGGTTCATTTACCCAGCTCTAGCTGAGTTCTCCTTAAAATCAAAATCAAACTCGATTTTTACATCTATCTCAAAGTATCACTTTCAAGGCTAACAGTACTGTAGCCACTTTTTAATGCTAATGAGCAATGTACAGTATAATTTGCACCATCTCTGAAAGCAGACAATGAGACAATGAAAATGGGAATGAATGGGGGAAAGGGATTCGATTGTTTTTTTGGGGAGTGAGAGTGAAAAGAGAGCAATTGGGTGGAGTCCATTGAGTGGAAAACCATTGAATTGAGTCATGGGTTTACATGGAAAGAGGAGATAACAAAGACTTTAACATACTTAGATATTAGAGATAAGGATGACTTAGATATCTAGTATCTTTAGTTAGTTAGTTAGCAAGTTAGCAAAGAAATAGCAGTGCTGGATTATTGTAGGAGATTGTAGATGGATTTTAATGAATCCAAGCGGAGTACTGTAGAAGTAGGCATCCTTTAGACAACGTAGTCAATGGGGATTACTGTAGAAGTAGATTGTAGACACAGTAGCTGCTTAGGCTTAGGTCCTACAGTAGCTGCTTAGACACCTAAGCCTAAGCAGCTACTGTAGGAGGTATAGACAGCTTTTAGGCTTTAGGGAGACTGTAGAGAGACTGTAGGGATACTGTAGGACACAGGAATACTGTAGCAGTGGTCTAGACAATTCAGGTTTGTAACCAAGCCAATAATTATTATTGAGGCCCATTTCCTTATCCAAATCCATTCCAATACCCATTTCTTGATCCAATCGCGATAAGAATGTGGTAATCCGTATTAAAATGGGTGACGAGTTGCGGGGGAAAAGATCGCTGATCGATAAGACGAGGTGGGGAACAGAGTTGTCACTTGCAGAGACAAGGAGTGAAGAGGATTGTGGGAAGATTACAGTAAGCTTACAGTAAGCCTTGCTTACTGGGTACTGTGGCCTTTGACTATACATTTAGATATCTTGCATCTTGCAGGAATGGATTCCGAGCGGTACTTATACCGGAATTCTTGTCTATTTTAATGAAAGCTAACAAGATTAGCTGAGCATTTAGCTTGGTTGGGTTGTTCCCACTAAGCCCCAGGGTTTGTAAACCAGACAAGGTTCAGAGCCAAGGTCTGGCTCTGACAGAGCCTAAGCCCTGGCCTAAGCCCTGGCCTAAGCCCTGGCCTAAAAGATATCCACTTCTACAGTAGCCCTTTGTATTATCTAAAAGATCCACTACGGTAACCCAAAGCATAGAACTTGTAGCCAAGGACTGACTTTTGTAAGCTAAGCCAGGACTAGGCTTCTAACTGAGCTTTGGCCTGAGACCGGCCTGACCCTGACCCTGATCTAAGCCTAACTTTTGAAAGCTAAGCCAGGACCAGGCCTGGCCTGAGCCTGGCTTAAGCCCTGACCTGGTCCTGACCTGGTCCTGACCTGGCCCTGACCTAAGCCTGACTTTTGTAAGCCAAGCCAGGACTAGACCCGGCCTGAGCCTGGCCTGGCCTGGCCCTGGCCTGACCCTGGTCTTGAACCCGGGAAAATCAACATCTAAGCAAAGTCTACTGGTAGTCCGGCGGGTTAAATGCAAATTTTATTATCATCTCGTAAACTTTTGTACTTTCTACCGTAATCCTAGCAAGTCATCAAATATTTTTTATGCTATAACTGGTTGCTAGTTATAGCAATAACTAGCAACAGCAATAGACAGCCAGCTACAAAACTTGCTGACATCAAGTCTATCTCTATAACTTATCTATAACTATCTCTATAACGATCGCCATAACCATATCTATCAATAGCTATAACTCTAGTTATCTATAATTGCTTTTATTTTATCTAAAGCTTTCCATTTTCTAGTATTTCTAGTATTTTCGTTTTTCCAAGTCGTCAATCCATATTTAGCACCTGCCCTTCCACCAATTTTCAAGAGTTTACGAAAGAGATTAGACAGATTCTGCAAATTCTATTATATTCTTGTTTTTCCATAGTTTACTTGGCTACTTGGCTACTTGGCTTTCTATCATTCTTGGCCATTCATTCACTCAATCACTTCAGTCTCTCTATTGCGCAATGTCTCTTGTGATAATCCCCAAGCAGTAATGCTTCCCCATTCCAATATTCTTATGCAAACATGTTCATGATTTAAATCTAATTTTCAGATTAGAATCTAAGTATTAGAATGTAATATTAGAATCTAAGTTATTAGAATCTTAGATAGATAAACTATAGTTTTTGAGTCTTTTTCTAGCTTTCTTTTTGTCTTTTGAGCTAAGCTAAGCTTTTGAGCTAAGCTAAGCCTTTAAGCTAAGCTAAGCTTTTAAGCTAAGCTAAGCTAAGCCTTTGAGCTAAGCTGAGCTAAGCTTTTGAGCTAAGCTAAGCCTTTAAGCTAAGCTAAGCTTTTGAACTAAGCTAAGCTAAGCTAAAGGCCAGAGTACAGTGGTTTATATTATTTTTTTAGCTTTGTAAGGCCTAGAATTCTCAGTCTCAGTCTAGAATTTGATTCTCGTATTCAATTATGCAAATTAACTAGATCAGATCATTGATCAGATCAGATCAGATCATCAGCGAAAGCAAAAGAAGGCAATCCAACGTACTAGTGAATCTAGTACGTTATCTAGCTGATTCTAGTGAATCTTTACTAGTGAATCGATGCTCCAGACGATTGGCGTTTAAGACTAAGCTTTACTTTGTTTAATTTGGCTTTTTTTTTCTAGCCAGCTCGCTTGTCTTGTGTACTTTGTGCTCAACAAAAGCACAAACAATTTTTCCTGATGCACGTCTGTTATCAATCTCAACTTCCTATCCTATCTATTGTTAATCCTATCCCATTTACTGTTAATTTCCTCCAAATTGACGCAATCATCTCAATCGATTTGATTCGCGTTTACCAATGGCGTTTTCCAAAGCAAATAATTGCTCTCAATTGATGGTAGACGAGAAAATCTTGTTTAATATTAGACTCTCTGAAGAGTTTAATAGATTTGTTAATAGATTCATATTTGTTCTCTAAATTCTTGTTGAATCTGGCCGTCATCATGATCGATTGGCTAAGATATTGGCTAAGCTATTGGCTAAGATTTGCTTGAAAGTGAACCCGGGTTAAGCCAGGATTAATGACACTGGGCTAAAGCCAGGCAATGACAGTGTCCTGACAATGACAGTGTCCTGACAATGACAGTGTCCTAGCAATGCCAGTGTCCTAGCAATGCCAGTGTCCTAGCAATGCCAGTGTCCTAGCAATGCCAGTGTCCTAGCAATGCCAGTGTACTAGCAATGCCAGTGTCCTAGCAATGCCAGTGTCCTAGCAATGCCAGTGTCCTAGCAATGCCAGTGTCCTAGCAATGCCAGTGTCCTAGCAATGCCAGTGTCCTAGCAATGCCAGTGTCCTAGCAATGCCAGTGTCTCCCAATTACAGAATTCCATGGAAAGCTTGACAATTTAGAATCTTGACAAACAATTTACATATTTACAATAGAAAGCTACGCATCACAGTCTTGTTTATTTTCTAGATTTTCTAGATTTTCTAGATTCAAGCTGCGTGAACCCTTTCCCCACAAACTCCGCCCCTTTCCATCGTCAGCTACCATTTTTGGGCTTTCGTCTCTTCTCTCTCTCCATTTCTTGCAATCTTTTCCCAATATCTTCATTTCTCTATTTTCCTTTTCCTTGAGCCACTCCTTGCCTGCCAATTCTCTCCATTTGATCCCGATTTCGCGTCCCTATATTCCCTTTCCTCGAATTGCGAATGGCGAAACTCGAGGCCCCTTATGGGCAACCGTATCCAAATATACAGGTTTGGTTAAAACAACTAACAACTGCTGCTCAACTGCTGCTCAACTGCTGCTCAACTACAGTCGAACTTTGATAAACGAAACGGACCATCGTTAGATCGAACGTTTCGTTGTATCGAAGTTATATCGAAGTTCGACTGTAGGCTTAGGATTGACTGTAGGATTGAAAAGATTAGGCCTTAATCAATTCAATCAATTCACGATTCTTTACGTCTAGTTCCTAAGTCCAATTCCTAAATCCACGTCTTATACACTCGTTTTTTTCACTTCTAGACAGAAATTGGAAAACTGGGTCTAGGCTGGCAGTCTGTGCCTGGTCTAGCCTCTCTTGGCAAACCTAGTCTAACCGTGGCCTGGCCTGGTCTAGCATTGATCTAACCCAGCCTAGCCTAGCCAACCAACTTGAGCCTGCCTTGCTTTGTCCCTGGTCCTGGCCTAGCCTGGTCGGCCTAGCCTGGCCTAACCTGGCCTAGCTTGTCCTAACCTGGCCTAGCCTAGCCTGACCTAGCCTGGTCCTGACCTAGCCTAGCCTAGCCTGGATGACCTAGCTTGGCCCATAATCCAGAAATGTGTTTAAAGCCGTCTTTGGAACCTTATTATGTCACAGAATCTTGGAATATTTTACTGTTCTAGCTGACAAATTCTAGAACTTTATGTGAATTGAATCGACTGCTCGATAACTTCTCTGAAATTTCTCTGATTCACATCTCTTATCTCAAACAACATTCCTTGCCATTTTCTCATATTACTTAAAAATAATGAAACGCTTTCCAGAACCTCGTTCCCAGCTCGAAAGCTGGTGATTTTCCACATCAATTCGGTTTAACGAAAGAGGAGAAAACGCAACGGATCGCTTATTCAAACGGATACCCACCGGTTTGTTATTCGTTTCTTGTGCTTAACTCTATAAATGCCCGCTTTCTGGTGCATTGAATTCTTCAATTTTTCTCATGATAGCTTCTGTGAGCTTCTGTGATAGCTTCTGTGAGAATCGAGTGTTCCAGAAATGGTGTATTTGCAGAGTTGAGCACAAAATACATCAAGCTATTGGGAACAAAGCTATTGCGAACAAAGCTATTGAGAAATTAAGCCAGAAGAATAGCCAATTTTCGTGTGCTAGATCGGTAGCGTTTCTATTGAAGCTAGTTGTACTTTGTGTAGCGTTTCGATCATTTTAGAAACACAGCCTTTGTACTGCACCGTTTTTTAAGGGATTTCTTTTCAAATTATCTAATCGATTACTAAGAAATTCTAGATTTTAAGCTATTGTTTAAGATATAGCTATAGAGCCAATTTTGGTGTGCTAGCTTGGTAGCGTTTCCATTGAAGCCAGTTGTACTTTGTGTACACTAGCTTTTCCATCATTTTCGAAACACAGCCTTTGTGGTGCACCGTTTTTTCACGAAGTAAGCCAACCACCGTATTCTCGTTTCCATTGACGAAGTACGCCAACCACCGTATTCTCGTTTCCATTGACCTTTTTCCTCTTCTCCATTTCTCTCGATTTTTGTCTAAACTCACTTGACCGGCGGTGGTTGTTTAGTTTTTTTGTTTCTTGAGAGTGAAGTGAAAGATCGATCATTTTGGGAGGGAAAAAGGAGCGGAAAAAGAGCCAAAAAGAGCCAAAAAGACAAAGATTGTAAACACTTTTCTCCCAAATACCGTATCTAAACGCTTTTTGCGGGTAATGGGTTTGAATTTTTGATGAAAATTTTCATAGTAATTGAGCCAAGCCAATTCTTGTAATTGTGCCAAGCCAATTCTTGTAAACACACCATTTCTAGTGCACTGAGTTTCCGAATTGTTTCTGTGAAATGAGGAATTCAGTGTCTCATGGAAGAATTGAGAGTTGAGAATTGAGAATTTGCAAGAATTGAGCACAGAGTACGCCAAGACCAAAGGTGGACCAAAGTTAGCTAAAGATTTGGTTCAATTCTCTAGAGCTAGAGAGCTAGAGCTGGTTCAATTCCCCAAGAATCTTGTAGAATCATAGCTACTCAAATCGATTGAGTTAACTAGTAGACCCAAGTCCAGTAAACTTAAGCCAGTAAACTCAAGTCCAGTAAAGTCCAGTAAACTTAAGTCCAGTAAACCCAAGTCCAGTAAATCTTCGTCCAGTAAACTCAAGTCCAGTAAACCCAAGTCCAGTAAACTTAAGCCAGTAAATCTTCGTCCAGTAAAGTCCAGTAAACCCAAGTCCAGTAAACCCAAGTCCAGTAAACCCAAGTCCAGTAAACTTAACCCAGTAACTCTTCGTCCAGTAAACTCAAGTCCAGTAAATCTTCGTCCAGTAAACTTAAGTCCAGTAAACTCCAGTCCAGTAAACTCAAGTCCAGTAAACTTAACCCAGTAAATCCTCGTCCAGTAATCTTAAGCTCAAAAAGTTTATCCCAAGAAGATCATTCTCTGATTGACAAGTATCCGATTTCACATCCCACAAATCCCTTTAGTGGCTCGAGAGTGAGGGGTACCCTGGACCTTTAGAGCCTATTAGGGGACAGGCTGAGAGGTTGAGAGAGACATTTATGACGGTCTTGCCCACCCCTGGGTCATGCCCTAAATCCCTAAATGCCTCACTCACAATGGAGCTATAGGAGATCGATTTTCTCGGCTTGTAAATGAATGCGATTAGGTGAAGAGGGAAATTTAGATTTTTAGACGTTTAGACGCTTTAGGAAATAGTTTAACTTACGGTAGCTATAGTTTAGCTTACAGTACTTACAGCTTAGCTTACAGTACTTCCAGCTTAGCTTACAGTACTTACAACTTAGCTTACAGTACCTACAGTTAAGCTCACAGTACTTACAGCTTAGCTTACAGTACCTACATCCTACCTTACAGTAGAGAAGACTAATAAGATCTTATTTTACCGTATCCCGTGCTTTATCTGTAGTAACCTTACGTACTTTAACTTATACTACTTTAACGTACGCACTTAACTTACGTACAGACCCTAACCTACATTTTATTCCTTAGAACGTAAGTACTGTTGTACTTTAGATCTTACAGTGTAAATATCGTACTTTTGTCGTAAAAGGTACTCTAGACCATGCAGTACTACAGTACTTAAAATAAACGTCATTAGTAATCGGCGAGATCGATCGGATTGTGGTGAATGTGTTAAAACAGTGTCATTTCTTGATCTAGAATTTGTTCCTTAAGATTTCTGCACAAAAAAAAGGCAAAAGTTCAAAGAAAATCCTACCGTAACCACTCTTCAAATACCTCCTTTTGAATTCAACTTCACAAAACTTTTTTTTTGTGCCTAAAATCTCCCTTGCTCGTTTCTTTGTTTTTCTTCTTCTTTTTCCCCTTTACTTAGTGGGTAACCGATCCAGCGAAGATTGATGTCCATTTTGGACTCTTTTTTTGCTTTCAAGGATCCCTGCTGAGGTGGACAGTCAATCAATTGTGGATTTTTGCAAAAATTTGAGGGAAATTGGAGCTAGCTTAGTGAAATCAGAGCTAGCTTAGTCAAATCAGAGCTAGTTTATTGAAATTAGAGCTAGCTTAGTGAAATCAGAGCTAGCTTAGTGAAATCAGAGCTAGTTTATTGAAATCAGAGATCAGAGTATCAGAGAAGAGAGATTAAACTAAAACAAGAATAGTATTAAAGGACATTTCTAGATGTTAGCTGGTTTGCAGTTAGAACTAGCAGTACTATGTACACGGGGTCAGTAGGACTATGTACAGTGGGTCAGTAGTAGATATTGAAGGACATTTCTAGCTGTTAGCTGATTTGTAGTTAGAACTAGCAGTACTATGTACAGTAGGTCAGTAGGAAGAAGCTAAAACTTAAGCCAGTCCTGAATAAAACCCAGTTTACCCCAGTTCTATGTAGAAAAATGAGGCCCTGACCCGTTTTCCCAAAAGTACACCATTTTTTGCTTTGTTGAGTTTACCGGAAAAGGAAAAAACGCAATGAAAAGGCCTAAAAAAGACGCGTGGCAATGCTTTGAAAGGGCTAGGGTCGACCCTAGATCCTGGACCGTATACATATGGATGAATGACCCCCTTTTTTGGGATTCGGGGTTCTATAGGGTCCCCGGGAACCCCCAAATTTGCATACGAAAGATACATTGTCTCATTTTTGGCTCTTTTGGCTCTTTTTTGGCTCTTTTGGCCCTTTGTTGGCTCGTTTTTGAGCTATTCTCTTCAAAATTTGGCCTTTGTTTTGCTAAAAGGACATTTTTTTAGCAAAGTTAAGTAATTTTAAGTAAATATTGTAAAAACAATCGAATAACTTAGTTATGATAGCTTTTTTTTGAAGTTATTCCCTTTAGTTAGTGCTTTTAGTGCAATTTTTGACTGTTTCTTGGCACAGATTTTTCATTTTGCGCATTCGAAAGACGTTTTTATCATAGATTGTTCATTCCACGCATTCTAAAAGACACTAAGTATTAAAAATTACTGTAAGCTAAGAGATTTCATTGTTTGAATCGAAAATCTGACGCAGAACTGTCTTTTTTTATAATTTCCAACAGTTAGCGTCTTTTCACAAATTGCCAATGGCAGAAATGGCGGCAATTACGGTAGTGCAAAAAAACGCAAAAAAAATTATGTTTCATCGGTTAAAAATTGCCGCTTTTCACTTTTAGCCTTCGTTATTTGATAATTCTAATGATTTTCGATAACTTTTTAAGCTTTTTATGTTATGTTTTCAATTTTCAGATATCTTCTGGAACTGGTCACCTCGTGAATCGCGGCAGTGAGCAAAAAGCGCCTCCCGGAATGGCTCAGGTAAAGTTTTATCCGATTTTTTGTCATAGAGTTCAAGAGCTCTTATAAAAGCTTATCTAGCTTCTTATCTTCTTATAAAAAGCTTATCTAGCTTCGTGTTTTTAAAGGTAAAACTATCAAGTTTACCTCAAAAAGCAGGAAAATGTGCTAAATTCCGTGAGCAAAGCAAGGTTTTTGGTCAAAAATTGCTCCAGGAAGGCAACAATTGATCAAAATTGATTCATAAAGTACGTAAATTGCAGTAGAATCGAAATAGATTTAGCTTGATGCCAGTTTTTCATCAGATAATAATTTATAGAGTCCAGACCTCTAAAATCAAGTTATCTAGCTTCAAAAACGTGTTTTTAAAGGTAAAACTATCAAGTTTACCTCAAAAAGCAGGAAAATGTGCTAAATTCCGTGAGCAAAGCAAGGTTTTTGGTCAAAAATTGCTCCAGGAAGGCAACAATTGATCAAAATTGATTCATAAAGTACGTAAATTGCAGTAGAATCGAACTAGATTTAGCTTGATGCCAGTTTTTCATCAGATAATAATTTATAGAGTCCAGACCTCTAAAGTCAAGTTATCTAGCTTCAAAAACGTGTTTTTAAAGGTAAAACTATCAAGTTTATGCCAAAAAGCACGAAAATGTGCTAAATTCCGTGATCAAAGCAAGGTTTTTGGTCAAAAATTGCTCCAGGAAGGCAACAATTGATCAAAATTGATTCATAAAGTACGTAAATTGCAGTAGAATCGAACTAGATTTAGCTTGATACCAGCTTTTGATTATATAATAATTTATTTTTAGTACACGGACTACCACTCGCATTTCGACCCGTCACTCATCCACGTGCCTTACTACGAACCCTATGGAGCGTCGCTAGGCGGTTATCCGATGGGTAAGGATTTGTAAAAACTTAAACTTTTATGTATTAGGCTGTTGAAGTCTTGAAATCTTTTTCATACTTTCTTTTCGATTTGCTCCAAATAGAAAATGTCTATTGTTTGATTTTTTAAAGCCGATCTGGACCCGTTTCCAAGCGAATTTGAGCACAAAAACGCGTTTTTGGTAAAATCAAATTAAAAGAAATCGGCTAAACAGGTTGCTCTGAAAATTTGTCTATATGTTTAACTTTTTATGCCCTACCTTTTTTATTATCACTAAAATAAGTTTCTGTGAGCCAAAGTGCTTAAATCAAGTGATTAAGAGTCGCCATTTTTGACTACCCAACTTCGCGCTCTGAAAAAATCCGAAACTGAAACTTTTTTAGAAGATTTCAACGCTCTTTTGCAGAAAAATAGTTGGCCTTTCTATTAAAGTAAACAATAAGTCTATTGATGAATTGGTCATTTCTAAACGGAAGGACGAAAGAAGCGGTCAAGACTTCTAGTCAACCTAATATAAACTAAATTCTGTTCAAGACTTAAGTAGGCATTAATTTTAAACTTTTTCATCTTTCAGGCGGCTTAATGCCACTCCAGGCGGCCGTCTCCGATGCACAAAACGATTTCGGTGCCTCGTCAAGTTATGGTTCGTAAGATTTTTAAAAATTACAGTATAAATGTGTTCTAGTGCATCATTGTTGCAAGCAAGTTTTATCGTTAGGCATTATTTTAGTAATCTTTATTTAGTAATCACTAAATTTAGTTATTTATTTAGTAATTAGTAATTTATTTAGTAATTAGTAAATTGAGTAATCAGCAAAATCTCTATTTTAGTAACCCCTCTGGCTCCGACGGGCAACGTGGGCACCCCACAAGAGCAACCCAACGGAAGCTCGGTGCTCGAAATCGGAAAAGTGGTTGGTTTTTAGTTAATTTAGATTAAAATTGCCTTCAGCTTTGTAGTGCTAAGCATATGAAAGTTCTAAATTGTTTATCATTCTTTTTTAGTCAAATCAACGTCCACCCTCCACCTCAGCGGCGACTGCCGTTTTGCCAACACCAGCCGATTGGGGAGCTGCAAATGGATGGCCACATTATTACATGGTGAGTAGACTTTTTACGATTCAAGATTTTAAAAGCCACTTTCAAGGGAGTTAGAGTTTTAATCTAAAAGCGATTGGCTTATATTTCAATTTAATACAAACAAGTAGGTGCTCAAGACTGACAAAGTTTGAATATACTTTCAAAATCACATTGTTGACCATCATTTCACCAATGGAGTGCCCGATTTGATGTCATCTTTTCCTCTTTGGCGTTACAATAATGTGCGGGTGCTAAATGCCTCTTTTGCCCTTTTCACTCACTCCATTTCACTCGATTGACTTGTCTTTCTAGCGATTGCTTTGATCTTTTTGCCGGTGGCATCGTGAAAGTCTTGTGAATGGACGTGTTTAGCACATTGATTTGCTTTTTGCCAATAATGTGGTGGGGAACTTGTTGAGGGACTTTTCTGAGCTAAAGGCTTTGCAGTTTTTGACGATTTTGAGGTTAGGTGATCTATTCAAATTGAGCACAATGCCCCCGATTCGTCCTTGACTCATAAAAGTACCTTGTCAAACGCGGCCGACAACTTGTAGATGAGGGCGCGGATAAGAAGATAAAGATCACGATCCTATTTTGTAATTATTTCGATCAGAAGATTAAAACGAATGTTAACAATACGATTAACAAGATCAGTAAAGATAAACTTCGTTTTCTAAAAGGTATCCCTTTTGGAAAACTGCTGTCATCTTGTCTTTTAGACAATTTTATCTAATCCATCTATTTTTGGCTGATTCTTTGATGGTTCACAAAGGATATCTAAAGATATAAAAAGTGAATAATTTAGATAAAAATTAGAGACAAGATTACGGTAGTTTGAAGATAGGGGACACGTGAAAGCGATGTCAAGCTCTTTGCTACCGCTTTTTCAAAACTTTTCCAACGGAATGCTGTGAGCATTTTTTTCAGAAGCACTCTAAAAAGAAAAAAAAGGCGGTCGTCTTTGAAATGGTAGAAAAGAGAAACAAACGAAAGCCGTGAAATTGAGCGAGCGATGTGTCACTCATTGAGTCTTTCTCAGTCTCAGAGATGGGTCGCGTGTCGCCGCAGAGATTCGAATCGAGAAAAAAAGATTCAATCTCTCTTTCTATTGCTCTTTTTGTGCATGAATGAATACAAGAGGACAACCTGAGGACATCTTGGGAGTTTTCATTAGAAAAACACTTTGGTAGAGTTGGTGGTTTGGGGTTGTTTTTGGTATAATGGTGAACTCCCAGTGAAATTACTACTATGCAGTGTAAAGTCAAACAGTTTAAGTGTCCCAAGAATTGATTAATCGTTTCATTTTCAGACAGCCGGCCCTGGTGACTACTCGTTTGCGACAGCGCCGAATCCAGCCGTTTTCTATTCAGAAGCATTAGTGAGTTTGTTTCCATATACATATACAAAAGAATCAACCCAGTATCATAGAAAAAAAGCATTTAAAAGTTTTTTTTTTATTGAATTTCATCTTTGCAAAAACCCACAAACACGCAACTTTCCCCCTTGATCGGCTTTTCTTCTTCGCCGCGAATCTACTGTCAATTTCGATTTGGAACCGAATTCAAATCGGGCGCCAATGCAAAAGGGAAGGGGGCACAGAGCTCGTAAAGTGGGGGAAACGGGGTGCTAACTGGATTTCTCTTTTTCCGATCACAAAATAAGAAAAGGGGATAGCTATGCCCCCTCATTGAAGGGGATCATTTCAGCGCCCCTTTCCTCCATTTTGATTTGACAAGAAATGTCTAGAAGTTGTCAATGTGAGGACTTGCGGGGGGTTTGAGGAAATAGCCGATATTCAATGGTTGAAGTACTAAAATTGCCTTTTAAAGCCATTGTTTTCAGACCCGCTTTCTAAAAGCTTGCAGATTACGGTAGTGTTGAAAGTGCTTCGTCGCGACGTTTCCTAAAAGGCATCGATTTTAGGCAACTACCGTAAACGGAAAACGTAGACGGTTTCATTTGATCAGCCGGATTTTGGTATCATTCAGTGATGGAATCACAAGGCTCACTCAATGATACCAAAATTGGGCTTATCTAAATGAAACTGGCGATAGGATTACGGTAGTCTTATAAAATATGGGTCTTTTAGAAAACGCACTAGCATTCCCATAGAACCTACATCATTTTCTTCAAGAGAACCCCCCGCCCACTAATCGATCCCGATTGAGGCTTTATGCCAGCGGCATTCACCGGCAAAGACCCAAATCGAATAATAAGATTGGGGAGCGGTGAGAAGAAAGGCGAGAAAGGAATCTCGAGGGTCGCTCACTTGCCGGGTTATGACCACTTCACAATATCCCAAATCCTTTTCCCTTTCTTTGTCATCTATCCCCTTTGTCTCTTCCCCTTTTTTTTGCCCATCCCGAGATCTACCCAACTTCTAAAGGGGTCATGCTGAGATGGTCAAACATACCGCACACTTTGTGCGTTTTTTTTCTTTTTCCACTGCCATTTTTTGTGGAAGAAACACTGACAGCGGACAAGAAGGATTACTTTTGTATTTGGGTACACACAAAAAATGGGGCAAGTCTTTGGGGAAAAAGTTTTGCTTTGTTCTTTGGGTGGGAGGAATTTGCATTTTGATGCAATCAAGTAAATATTGAGACTGGCTTTGTCCAAGAGAAATGAGAAAGACCTACAAAAACCTAGATTAAGACCTTTAAAACCCTCAAAATCAATCAAAAATCCACAATCCCATCACTCCCCTGTTGTCGTCCGATCAAGATTAGCACCAATTACATGGTTTGGGGAATTTGTTGAGAATCCCCTTCTTGGAACAGCTGTCTCCCTAGCATCGGCACTTTTGATCATGGGAGAGAAAACATGAAAGACACGAGTAAATACACTGCAAACAAGTCTCTCTTGGCCTTGACTTTTGGGGAAGGTCTTTATTGGGAAATTGTGCATTGTTCGAGGAAGATAATTGTGATTTTAGGGATCAAAAGTGAATTAGGAATAAAAAGTAGAATTTTTACGATTAACCTTTCTTTTTAGCCCCAGGTCTACCCGGATCTTTGGATGGACCGAGTGCCGTTGATCCGTCGAGTTACGCCGCCGCTCTGCAACCCCAAGTCACTGGAGTTACAGGTAATGATTTTATTTTTTGTATTGAACTTATTTATCTTTAAACTACAAGACTGTTTATATTTATTGATATTTAAGTTACAGTATTAGTGATTACCATTTTTCAATTCCAGGCCCATGCCCTGCACCGATTCCTCTCAATCCAGCGCTCGCCTCGCCCTCCTTTGATTACTCGATTCTTCATCCGCAGACGAGTGTTGCTCCGACGATTAGGTACTCAAGATAATAAGTCACTTTGCTAGTTGTATAAGATTGATTAGAAACGAGTTTGTACAATTTTCCTTTAGTGCCACCTTGCCCACACCGACTCGAGCGGCTCCGAAGCGAAAATCAATGAAGAGTGTCGGCAATTCGGCTCCAATTGTTCCGCCGGGACCGAGCTTAAGTAATCATTTGATCAAATTGTTGTTTTTAACTTTATGGAGTAACCAAGCTACATTTTTTCTTCTAGGCATCAAATCGGCCCCGTCAATCGCCTCGGGCGATGATTGTTTTTCGGACGATGATGGACGATCGACTGAGGATCGAGATGTTGATAGAAGATCGGCGAATAACGCGAGGGAAAGGTTAGTGAATCTAAAATTTTATATAATGTTGTAAAAAGTTGCATGTTTTCCCTTCTGTTTTGAGTGCACGTTTTGTTGTTGTGAGGCATTTGGGTTCTATTTCAGTTTAATGGTCAAAATTTTTCTGTTTCTTATCACACAATCTCCAAAACGACTTACTAGAAAACTTTAATATCTTACCCATTTGTTTACATAAAGGCGTGCCAAGTACAGTCGCATGAGTGGCTCATGCTCGTCATCGTTGGCGGCCGAAGATGAGACGGGACGCGTGTCCGATGATAGAGAGATTCTCGACAGGAGACTGGCCAACAATGCACGAGAACGGTATGGCTGGAGTCTGTCCCTCGCAACTAGTGCACTTTTTAAATGGCACCTATTTTAGACAAATCCGATCAGCCCAGTTTTGGTATCATTGACTAAACCTTTTGATCCCTCATCGAATGATACAAAAATTGGGCTGATATATTGAAAATTGAGATTACGATAGTTGCCTAAAATTGGTGCCTTTTAGATAGCATTAATCGAGGAATACATTCTAGGTATGATTGATTGAATGGGTGGGAAAGTGCACGAAATATAAGTTTGCTAACTAAAGAATAAGAAGTTTGACAAAAATCCCAACATTGTTTAGCAAAAAAGCTTGGTGTGGGGTTTTTATTGTGATTTTTCTGGGCCCTTTGTTTCGTTTTTGTTTGGTGAATGTGGGATGGTGTTTAGATCGACAAATATACTTAAACTAAAATTTGTTTATTTCTAGAATTCGCGTTCGTGACATCAACTCGGCGTTCAAAGAGCTGGGCCGAATGTGTCACCAACATTTGCAAGTCGGATTCGCTCACGTTATTGCAGCACAAGAGGTGAGCAAGAATGTGTTTATGGCTAGGCTATTAGACATAATTTGTATCAGGTTACGGTAGTTTAGACTCCGATAAATTTGCTACACCAAATTTTTTGTTTTAGGCCAGCGGTGATAAAGCGCAGACGAAGCTCGGCATCCTTCATCAAGCCGTTCAAGTGATCACAACATTGGAAGAACAGGTAGATTTCCCGATGCTCTAAAAGCGATTGTTCTGGGTCAGGCCAAAAGCTAGGCACTGACGTGACTCTTGGTTTGGCTTACAAGCTCGGAACATTCCTGATCCTAATAACTTTTATCCTTAGCTTTATTACCATAAATTCATGTTTCTAAAGTCGATTCTCAGGTGCGACAGCGAAACTTGAACCCGAAAACGGCGGTCTTGAAGCGGCAACATCACGGCGGCGACGAGAATAAAGCGTCCACTTCGGCGGGCACCTCGGCCGACGCGTACGTCCCAAATATGGCCTATCGCTAATCGGTTTCCTTTTTGAAATCTCTCTATTGTACATCTAGCCTTCTTTATCTCACACAGAATGAAATAACAGCGATTTTTTTCTTCAAAATCTTACATTTATTTATTCATCACCTTGTGCCCAAATCACTCATAATTCTAGTACTACAGTCGGGGCTTCAAATAAAACGCAAAGTTGACAAACTTTGAAGTTCGACTGGATATTTATTTCTTTTTGTCGAGTTTCACGCAAATTGTGTTTTCCCTTCACCAATTTTCAGTCATTTTCACCACAGACGCATTCCAATTTTTGAACCATTTTCCTGTTTTAACTTTTCTGACGCTCACACCGATTCCCAAATACAGTATTTATTCCTTCCCCCCTAATCTTTGAACTACCCTCTTCTTTTTCGTCTTGTGGACCTTTTAGGAATTATATTTATTCTTTCATATTCTCTCTTTGCAATTTGTTTCTCAGAACTTTGACTAAACTTTTGTCTGAATAAAGTTTCCACTTTTATTGCTCACAAAAAAAACAATCACTTTCAAAGGTTACACCCGTATCAAAGAAAACGTCAATTTAGTTACAACAATGTATAAATTATTATTAACAAAAACACCTACAAGTATATCTTTTTCTTTGCCATGAATCGAACCAATAACCGCAGCGTTGGAAACGTCGTAATGGCGGCAATCGAGAACGGGAGCAATTTCCGTCGGAAAGATGTCCTGCGGTTGAGAGTCATCTAAAAATTCTATACGAAGCCTATATGGGAATCTAAAAACTCACAAAATATGTCGCTATCGCTAACTGTTGAAGCACCAAAGTCCAGTCGTGCCTAAAAGGGTGAGGATTGTGAAGACTAAAAATCGTTTACCAAAGCCAAGAAAGCATTGAATCGCCATGGGCGGCTACGCTTGCGTGCATCGGTTGTAATCTTTATGGGAGACGTTATTCAAAGATCAAAAGGCAGCGAATAAGTGCCAAAACTTACACTATATGATCGGCATCAGTGGCAAGTGGCACGCTCGTGTTAAGAGACAAGGCTGCCTTTTTGCTGAAACCAGAGACAGTTACACAACGAAATTTCTTTTTGGAGCAAAATAATCAAAAGATGCATAAATTCAGAAATAAATGATTACTCACACATTGATATACATTGATGCAAACGGTTCCTTGTAGTAGACATCACAAATGAGGTAGAGAAGTGCCGACTGGGCTACCAGGAACGCGTTCAGCAACCAAAAACCTGAAAAAAATGACAGTTTCTAGTTAAAAAGTTATTGATGCAAATTGGGAAGGTTGTCCCCGAGCATGTAGTACCAAAAACGACTAAAACTTTCAACAAATCAGTTCGCCCATTTCGCCCATGACCACATCGGAAAAGTAGTCGATAGTCCGGTTTTTCAGTCTTCCCCATCTGCGAAACGCCTTCATCTCGCGATAGAAACGCTAAAATTGATAGTAGACTTGGATTTGCCAAGACAGAGACTTTGACAAGATCAAACGCCAGTAAAACCTTTAAAAGTTAAATATGCCGTAAGTCAAAAAGTTCATGTCAATCGTGGGAATTTCCACGGTCTTAGTCTCATTAGAAGTTAAATTAAAGTCTTGTGGTCTCCTTACTTGTTTCTTGGGTCCGGTAGGCTATAACGCGATAAACAGTAAACTCTTCACCCAATTATCCCTCCCAGAACACGATGATCGTCTGACAGCAGATGAAGACAAAACAAATTAAAGCCGAGCAGCATGACCTGCGAAAGATAAACTTTAAAACTCAAAATCATTTCCCACCTCGGTTTCAATCGGATTAATCACATGACCCCATGGGTAACTCGCGAAAATGGCGCTCCCTGAGTGAAAATGAATGAAAAAACATGAGAAACTCACAATTGAAGCAAAGCTGCAACATCGTAAAATATCGGCTGACCAAGCGAAACGAAAAAGTATACTAAAAAAGTGGCTTAGATTCCGCAAAAGAATCTCAGAATCTGCTGTAAAATCGGTAAAATGAAGAGCGAACCCTTTTCATCTTTTTTTTTATGCTAATTCCATCAAGAAAAAGGAATTCGCAGCTCTAAACTTAAACCCAGATTCTGGCCGATCGGAAACCTACCGTCTACCGTCTCAGCCTTACGGTCTGTCTACCCACAAAAAATCGGAAGAAAGCCACTTACATATTCCCGCGATAACCAACCCCATCTTGCATCTATTATAAAGCTCTACGAACTAAAAAAAACCATAAGTCACTCAATGATTTGTTTGTCTATCAAAGAAAACCAATAGAAATGCAACTAAACGCTAAACAATCAAATTTTCTAACCATTTATTAAAAATCGAGTGAATGCATCATCATAAGCATCATAAAAAAGACAAATAACAAATAAGACGAATCATACGGAAAGTAAGAAAACTAATATAAATAATAAAAATTTGAGCAAACATTTCAGGAGTTACAAAGCGAAAGACGAAGAGATTGCTTGTTGAATCATTCGCATTTGATAGACGATTCCACCATTATCCGTGTGTGAAGTCAGTGGACGGGACGGGCTGGTCATCGATTTTAACTAAAAAATAAACGATTTAGCTCACTAGGTAAGACTGTGTTCCTCGTAAGTAATCCGCTTTCTAAAAGGGAATAATTTAGAAAGCCACTGTGGTCTCTCTTACAGATTTTTCTGTTTTACTCAATTTTAATCTCATTCGATTCACATTTCATTCCTCATTAAATGGGATAAAATTACGTACAAAATCTAAAGGAAGGTTACGGGGCAGCTTTCTAAACCAATCACCTTTAAGAAAGCGCATTACTCGCGAGAAACACACACACTAAAAACTATCGCCAATCAAACAAGCTTGTGCAAAAAAAAACACTAAAATGTATCTCACCTTGTTCACCACGGCTTTCAACGCATCATATTATTCTTTCTCAAAGCGATCCATCTCTCTCGATCCAACTCGTGTGTTAGCTCGTCTCCATCCGGCAACCGTTCATACTCACTAAAACATCAGAAAATTATTATTAAATCAAATTCAATGCTTACTCTAAAGTCTTCACATATTTCGCAATTCTAAAGTCGCCATTTCTGTCTCGCAAATCGTCGTGAAACTCTTGAAGACATTTGCTCGACCACCAGCCGTAATGTTCAACACCATGTTACGTAGCTAAAGTTAGAAAGGTTCAAACAGTTTAAAAACCAACCGCCGTATGGTTCGGTAGATACTGCTTCAAGAGAGCCAGCAATTGATGTCGATTAGCCGTCAAAGAATGGGATAGCTGATTGGGCTGAAAACGGATCAACAATGGAAAAGTTTTCTGAATAGCTTACCACACAAGTAGCAATAAAGCAAACGTTTTTCTTCTTCGACGATTTTTCCTAAAGACATTATACAGTCGAACTTCGATATAACGAACATTTTCTGGATAAATTATCGTATACTTAATTTCTCTATAACGAATTATTTGCTGGAAATGTAGATAAAGCTTAATGGATTTTAGTTTTTGAGTGAATATTTATTGTATTTTTGTTGAAATTGAGTTGGGTTTCCTAAAATTAGCTTACACTTTTGCTTGTCCACAATTTTATTAAATGTACTTTTTCCTGTTATTCTTCATTTTTAATAATAGCTTTATTTTTAGGTGATGGATCGAGTGAAAGCGACTCGACGATCAATCAATTTGGCTTTAAAGAAGAGGCTACTTAACCAATCGTCTTCAAAGGGAACTTCTGAATTGACCATGGATTTTGCATTTGTCGATGAAGATGTTGCTACAACAGGAATTCAAACTTTTGGATGAAATAGCAAAAGGTTTGCAAACAATGAATATTGCTTCGGAAAGTGAGAAAGAGGAAGAAATTTGAGGATTTGAGGGGAAGAGGAATTTCAATCTCCCAAAGTGAAGCTTATTACCATTTTCAAATGGTTCAACGATACATTAAAAAGAACGGAACAACAAAAACTTTCTCGGCAATGAATGCAATTGACAATTTTTTGACGAACAAGCTTCTCTAGTTAAGAAG